ATTTGTCTCCATTCACTCCTATCAAACACGCTCACGCATGCCTGCTGGAAGTCCAAGCCCCTCGCACACAAAACCTCCTTTACCCCCTCCCTCCAACCTTTCCTAGGCCGACCCCTACCCCGCCTTCCTTCCACTACAGACTGATACACTCTTGAAGTCATTCTGTTTCGCTCCATTCTCTCTACATGTCCGAACCACCTCAACAACCCTTCCTCAGCCCTCTGGACAACAGTTTTGGTAATCCCGCACCTCCTCCTAACTTCCAAACTACGAATTCTCTGCATTATATTCACACCACACATTGCCCTCAGACATGACATCTCCACTGCTTCCAGCCTTCTCCTCGCTGCAACATTCATCACCCATGCTTCACACCCATATAAGAGCGTTGGTAAAACTATACTCTCATACATTCCCCTCTTTGCCTCCACAGACTCCTAAGTGCACCACTCACCCTTTTCCCCTCATCAATTCTATGATTCACCTCATCTTTCATAGACCCATCCGCTGACACGTCCACTCCCAAATATCTGAATACATTCACCTCCTCCATACTCTCTCCCTCCAATCTGATATCCAATCTTTCATCACCTAATTTTTTTGTTATCCTCATAACCTTACTCTTTCCTGTATTCACCTTTAATTTTCTTCTTTTGCACACCCTACCAAATTCATCCACCAATCTCTGCAACTTCTCTTCAGAATCTCCCATGAGCACAGTGTCATCAGCAAAGAGCAACTGTGACAACTCCCACTTTGTGTGGATTCTTTATCTTTTAACTCCACGCCTCTTGCCAAGACCCTCGCATTCACTTCTCTTACAACCCCATCTATAAATATATTAAACAACCACGGTGACATCACACATCCTTGTCTAAGGCCTACTTTTACTGGGAAATAATTTCCCTCTTTCCTACATACTCTAACTTGAGCCTCACTATCCTCGTAAAAACTCTTCACTGCTTTCAGTAACCTACCTCCTACACCATACACCTGCAACATCTGCCACATTGCCCCCCTATCCACCCTGTCATACGCCTTTTCCAAATCCATAAATGCCACAAAGAACTCTTTAGCCTTATCTAAATACTGTTCACTTATATGTTTCACTGTAAACACCTGGTCCACACACCCCCTACCTTTCCTAAAGCCTCCTTGTTCATCTGCTATCCTATTCTCCATCTTACTCTTAATTCTTTCAATAATAACTCTACCGTACACTTTTCCAGGTATACTCAACAGACTTATCCCCCTATAATTTTTGCACTCTCTTTTATCCCCTTTGCCTTTATACAAAGGAACTATATATATATATATATATATATATATATATATATATATATATATATATATATATATATATATATATATATATATATATATATATATGCACTTTGTAGTTAGTAGGTTGATAGACAGCAACCATCCAGGGAGGTACTACCCTGCTACCAGGTGAGTGTGAAATGGAAACCTGTAATTGTTTTTCATGATGGTAGGATTGCTGATGTCCTTTTTCTGTCTCAAAAACACTCGGGATAAAAGGTAAATCATGCTGCTTCTACTTACACTTGGGTCACACTACACAGGCGTGCACATACATATATATATATATATATACACATACATCTAGGTTTGTCTTCTTTTTTCTTAATAGTTCTTGTTCGTCTTTATTTCCTCTATTCTCCACGGGGAAGTGGAAAAGAATCTTTCCTCCTTAAGCCATACGTGTCGTATTAGGCGCCTAAAATGCTGGGGGTAAGGGGCTAGTAACCCCTTCTCCTACCTACCTGGAGGGTATTCCGGGAATCAACGCCCCCGCGGCCCGGTCCACGACCATCCCTCCAGGTGGATCAGGGCCTGATCTTGTATAAACTACTGAGAAAAAGAGAAGAAAAACTTTCGTTAATATATCCCTAAATACAAATTTGCATAAGAAATACTTATTCCATGATGCACATAGGTTGTATGCATTGAAAAGTCAAATAATGTCCGAGTAGCTATTGGTAAGTATGGCAAATAATGCTAACCATGATAATGGTGATAAAAATAAAGTACCGCAGAACGGAGTTTCTTACAATTTTCGACTAAAGAAATCGAAGAGAAATATGTGAGAGAGTTTACTAATTCCACACCATTGCCTTTCAAGGGGAAATGCCATAATGATGAAGGGCTATTAATCCAAGGAATTGCAGCTATCTTCCACTGATTACCTTTCATTCCCCAGGCGCTGTATGAATCCTACGGGTTTAGTGCTTTTTCATGATTTTCATAATTAGAAGAATAAGTCAGTACCGGAGATGAAGCTGTAGACATTTCTTTCTGTCCTGAACTATTGATAATGATCCTTGAAGGGCCAAAACTTCTAGTTTTCTCTCCAATGTATGGGTTACTTGTAAATTCTCATAATAATGTGAATATATTTATTTGGCAAGTGGCAGGGTTTACCCGACTCTAGGGCAGCAGCCCCACACCGCAGTTCCTTTGCCAGCCAAGAATCTGAAACCTTACATTATTTAATCCAATTGTATAATTACGTGCTTTGTCCAGGCATGGTGGAGGGTGTAAACATTGTGGGGGTAAGGGGCGCTACTCTGGTACCTCTACGGTGGGGGAGGGTGAGAGGACCTGCCACCCTGCCATTGGGAAGAGCAGGGAGACAGGGCTTGCCAATGGGAACATCAGGGAGGAAGGACCTTCCATGATACCTGTAGGTAGATTAGGGATGGGGGACCTATTACCCTACCTGTGATAGGAGGAATTGCAGAACTGGAAAACGTACGGAGAACTTTCACTGCTCGTATAAATACAGTCAGGCATTTAAACTACTGGAAACGCTTTAAGCCCGTTGATCTGTATTCCTTGGTTTATAAGTGAGAAAGGTGCATCATATTATACGCTAAGAAATTCCTGGAGGGATTTATCCCAAACCGCCACACAGAAATCACTCCATTTGAAACAAGAGGATTAAGTGATGATGGGAAATACCTCCAGTTAGAAACTGGGGTGCGTTGAGTGTACTAGAAGACAGCTCAGTACGCGTAAAGGGTTGATCAAGACTTCAGCACCCTCCCTTCATACATAAAGGAAATTAAAAACAAACTTTGGCAGTCTTCCAGAGGAAACTCGATAAATCAGCTGGGCTTTTTTGGCATATGTTGGACTGTGCTCGGCTGGCACTAAGAGCCTGGTCAATCAGGCCAGCAACCAGGAGGCCTGGTCTATGGCCGAACCATGGAGATTGTAACCCCCGAAATCGACTCCATGAAGAGAAGATCTGCCACCCTACCTGTTGGTGGATAGGGGAGAGAGGACCTGCCACCCTACCTGTTGGTGGATGAGAGAGGGAGGACCTGCCACCCTACATGTTGGCGGATGAGAGAGGGAGGACCTACCATCCTACCTGTTGGTGGATGAGAGAGGGAGGACCTGTCATCCTACCTGCTGGTGGATGAGAAAGGGAAGACCTGCCACCCTACCTGTTGGTGGATGGGAAAGAGAGGACCTGCCACCCTACCTGATGTTGGATGAGAGAGGGAGGACCTGCCACCCTACCTGTTGGTGGGAAGGGAGGGGGAGGACTTGCCACCCTACCTGTTGGTGGGTGGGAGAGGGAGAACCTGCCACCCTACCTGTTGGTGGGTGGGAGAGGGAGGACCTGCAACCCTACCTGTTGGTGGATGAGGGAGAGAGGACCTGCCACCTTACTTATTGGTGGATGGGAGAGGGAGGACCTGCCATCTTACCTGTTGGTGGATGGAAGACGGAGGACCTGCTACCCTACCTGTTGGTGGATTGGAGAGGGAGGACCTGCTACCTTACCATTGGGGGTGAAGGAAGGAAATACTGTAGCTTAATATCAGTTGTCCCTACAAGGCAGGAGGCTTGGTACTGGTAGAGGGGTCTTGTTACAAGAAATTTGAGCTACCATCTTACTTAAATCAAGCCTGATTTCCTATAATTTCTCAGATGCTACGTGATCATTATACGTTTAACCTTTCCTCATCAAATATAATCAACACGATGCTAGATTTAGTGCTGATCACACATACAATCTATAGATTGAAACTGTATGGCAGACTGTACTGAAGGTCCTGTCAACTTTAACACTGGGAGAGCTGCAAGTGCTCTTGTTGTAATCCACTCTCGTGGTAATACAATGCACACACTATTATAATTAATAAATTGACTTCCATCTTACAAATTGAACCGTTTCTTATTCTCTCTGCTCTTGGGCATATCGAAGCTGCAACCAGTCATTGGCATTGCTCTCAAGCTTGCTAAAGCTACAGCCACAATCGTTCTCATTGCTGTCAGGTTTGCAGAAGCTGTAACTATAGATATATGATCGTAATTCATTACTTCTCTGAATAGCCCAAGATCTGAGTGTAACAGACTTGCTTCTGGAGCTAGACATATTTGAATGATGTAAAAAAAAAATCAAGCAAAATATTTGTTGATTCCTCCTCACATAGAGTAACAAAACTAATCATAGTTGTTTGTAAATGACACATGTGTAGCAACGGGAAAGCTATCATATAAATAGTATACAATATCGACAAGTTGTTAAAAACAGTTGCAGCATAGCGACCTTTATTGACGGAACGTTTTGCCTGCGTTGCAGGATCCATCATTCAAATACGGAGATAAATTACACTCTTGGAGAGATCAGCTGGGTAGAAGACGAAGTAGACGAATGGTGAGGTAACTTAATATGATCAGTCTGTCACCCTTGGTGTAGATAATCATCTCTGTATGTATGTATAGTGTTCGCCAAGTCCGTAGTCCTGGCACGGGTCTCAATCTTGCGATGACCCGTCTGATAATCAGTCTCTCGTGGCGAGCGGCTTATATATACATATACTGGAAGGTGAGGTGTAGGTGCATGGAGATGAGGTCACAGGTGAGTTGGGCCTGCTTGTGGAAGTAAGCCATATTAAACACTTGATAGTAAAAAGAGTTGCGGAAGACATCCCTTGTATGAAGATTCCATCATATTGCAGAGAGGCGTGGTCTGGGACCGGGCCGCGGAGGCGGTGACCTCCGGAAGAGACTCCAAATGCTGCCAAGTGGGATGGTAATATTGAATTTAGGCAAGGACATTCAATGCAAGCAAGACATCGAGCAAGAGAAGAGGCATCGATGAGCTAATATGGATTTTGCAGCCAACATTTAGTCCATTTCACGATGTCATTTGTCTTGGAACCATGGTCTAGCTAGGGGCGCCACATAACTAAGCACCCTTGCTCAAGAATAAAAGGTACAGCTGTTTCATCTATGGTTTGTTTTTGACTACAACTGTCATAAGTTCCTTCAGCGGCTTGATGCGGCTAAGGTCAAACCATGTTTCAAGGTTAATGCCGGATATATTTGTTATGTGTCAAATTTAATTAAAAATTATGATTTAATGTGTATATTGTCATACTTAGGGGTACTAGGTCCCATATGAGTCTTTTATCAGGATCTCGCCTGGATAACGGGTCTGATTTCAGAGAACACTCTTCTGTGTTCTAAGGAGGTTTACGATTATATATTAGGGAAATAATGGCTAAGAGTATTTCCTGTGATTGTGATGCGTCATTTTAAATCATTAAATAACACTTTTGTGGTGTTCTGATTTCTCACCTCGACATGTTACCACCAAAGAGTGCAAACTGATAGATCCTCCTCTTTAATATATACGCTAGTATAATACTCCATTCATTTTTCACTTGGGTATTTCCTGTACTACATCCAAATTCAATACTTTCCACTCCTCTCCCCGTTTATTATCTATATCTTTCTATCTACCAGAGCAAGTGTTTAAACATGCACACTCCAACCCAAACTAACATGGTTGTCAGCTGCAACGGTCAGTAGCACACGCCAGATATAGCAATGCATGCTGCTGCTGTGTCACAGTAGTACTGCAGTTGTGTCATTCCACCCAAAGCATCTTAGATTATCTTATAACATGTCAGGTGACAGACGAAGCATCAGGTGGCCATCTAGTAGGGCCTCTGATAACGGAAATATTACCAGAAGTTGCCTTCATATCTAGGAATGACATCAGAAGGTGTATGACTCCTGCCGTTCATATTCAGTTTGCTTAATGACATTATTAGCTGAAAGATGATTGCGCTGTTATTGCTCTTGTCTGATCGTAAGTTTTACTGAACCTAGCTTGGTCAGTTTTGAGGTGCTGTCCAGATGGTGTCCCCTTAATATGTAAAGCGGGTCAACGCCTGCCGGTTCGGGAACCGAAATCCACATCACTATAATGCCACAACTGTTGACCCTTCGGCCACCCATCAAAGTATTGCAGATAACATGCAGCAGAATGTGACCGCCCCCGTTCCTCCCTTAACTGCTCTTGTATTCTCGTCGGTGCCTCATTTTCCTTCAGGAAAACGAGATCCGATGTTTGGAAGAAGAGTTTGTCACACTCAGGCCATAATCAAACTCTGCACCTCCTACTCCAGAGTCGCCCAGGACTCCCAATGCCCAGTAGTGCCCTTCTACACACTTATTCCAATATCTAATCCTTTTGCAGTTCTCAACAATGTCACCTTCACTGCTTCCCAACCTTCAGTAAACAGTCTTCTTCCGTAGTCCTGTTTATTTTATGACACACTGCAACTCCCAAGACCTCCAAAACTGTTTTCCTCGTGACCACGCAACAACATTACCATTCTTTCGTAAACTACTTTCTCTGACCCACCACCTAAGGATGCTGAACATAGATGAATTTCTAACATGATATTCGCTATACGCAATTTATTACACCATATGCTGTGTATATTAAGAAAGGGATACGCTGGATTATTTAAGCACGCTACAGTAGGCTCTGTGGACATGATAGTAGAGCCTAGGATTCCGCTTTCATCAGAAAAAAAACAAGGTTTAATATAATTTTGGTTTGTCAAACTTTCTATGCCTTTTCATAAAATATAGCAAATTTAGAAAAAAAAAATGTAGTTTCAGATTGGAACTAGCAGATCCATTGCCCATCAGTCATCACACTGAAATCTATCACGTTTTAGAGAAAGTAATAGTTACTGAACTACACGATGTTGCCAAGACCAAGAATAAATTACGCTAACAATACCTTTGGCAGTGCATAACATTGGTTGTGCACTGTCACGTTGCATTGTCAATTCACCAGAAACCAAATTATTGCACCAACCTTGATTTTATTTTACCTCTTGCACTCTTCCCCTCCCCCCACTGATCCATACTCTTATACACTCCTGCCCTTCACTCCCTCCCAATCTCCGCATATTCCTCTTTTAACGCATCTCTCCCTACAGCGCTCTGTGACCCGTTCAGGTTTAGCGCTTAATTGGATTATATTGTTAACCCGTTTATTATTATTATTATTATTATTATTATTATTATTATTATTATTATTATTATTATTATTATTATGCCGGGAATGGTCTCATGAACCACGGAATTGGAACTGCCCTCCCCTTCCTTGCATTGAGCTTCATTGCCTTCTATTCCGCAAATGTTGTGTGACCCCCTACGGGTTTGACGCTTCCGTATAGTAATGAGTTTTTTTTTTTTTAGTGTATCAGTCTTGAAATGTACAGTGTATGGACTCGTTAGTTTGACCTCTTCCTTCCCACCCTATATACGAATAAAGCTATGGAAAATGTCAAATTACTACATAAGAACAGGGGAATGAAGTGTATAATAATCATACCATACTTAAGGTGACAATAATGTCGACTCTGAAAGTGGTGCTTTGAAACTGGTGAAGGGTTTTGGTTCACAGAATTTGAACTGATCTCCACTCTGACAAAGCCCAGTGTCTGTGAAGAGCTCTTCGTCTAAAGAATTGGGCCTGCCCTCCCTTTTCCCTTAGAATTCGACTGATTACTTCCAATTCCTGAGGCGCTTTGTCTTCTACGGGTTTGGATTCCTTCCCTCCCTCATCATCTTGAAAGAAATAATTCCCATAGATTACGAAGCCGTCCTCCGAGCCATTAAGTCGATTCTTCACGTATAGTTTGCAGCACATTTCTGAGTTAGGTTAGGTTGCCCTGCATCCATAAAAAATAATGAATTATAATATACTGCATAGGAAAAGACGATAAAAAATGTCTGCAACTCGGACAGGAAACGAGCACCCACTACCCGCAACTACAGTCAAAATTACTACTGTTCAAGGCATCTTCAACAATCATCCATTTGACTTTTTCAATAGTGCCATGATGCCTGAGGCTAAAAGGATGGCCGTTATGCAGGATTTACAGGGCTCTTCAGTCTGTTAGAGCAGTAATTTTCATGTGGAGCGCTTAAAACCAATACCCGTTTTAAACATTATGTTAAACGGCTCAGTGACGTCTCCTTCGGCTAACAACCGAAGCCTCGGGTTCAAACTCGTAAGTCGAGATTATGGGCAAGTCTCTTTACAGAGATGATAACCTTGGTTTCACTGAGCAGTTAATAGGTATGTGGATGTTAACTGATTTTTGGGTCACATCCTGAGGAGACATGAGAGAGGTGGGGTTACTTGTACCTTACATAAATAGAACTGAGCCTCGAAATTATCAGTGGAAAGATAACAGCGCCCTTATTCTGGAAATTCAATGGCATCCTAAAAAAAAAAAAATAGGTTTAACACTTTTTGTTGTAAATATAGTAATATCAAAGGGTCACTGAGAGAGAGCCGGTCGTTGAATAATTAATTCATTGACCTTTTATTTCATACCTGTACACAAGGGAAGTAAAGTTCAGAGTGGTATATGATGGTGGTTGTAAAGAGCTCGTTGCAGGTGGTGGGTTACCAGTCCAGCACGACAAAGCTCTGTAACACCAGCCATTCAACAAAAGGCCATTCGGCGGCTTCACATTTACAACCTGAATTGCCCTTCAACAGGTATTTCTTGATACTCGTGAAGGGATCTTGATTAAAGGAATTGGAGCTACTCTTTCCTTAGATCAAGCCTGATAACTTCATTCCCCATGCGCTGTATAAGTAAATAATAATAATATGTCCTAATGATAACATTATTCTTTATATGTTTTAGCCAGTTTCTCTTCATACTCTGTTTGGGTTAGGCGAGGTTAAAATCAATAAGCTAATTTTAATTAGTTATAACAAATATTAACACCAGAGTAAAAACCTCAACGCCCAAGTATTTTTCGTCGACGGTTTTGAGTCGCCGTAAAATACTAACGTATCCATCTTAATTATGAGAATAGATTCACTTTATGTCGACCTCCTGCCTTCAAACTTTCATGTTCATTATTTCTTTACCTCGTTGTTTTTACCGACCATTTTTATAGGCAAAATTTGTATCTGGAAATTTTCAGGGCATGAGATTGGCTACGCCATCTCTTGAAAACGATAAATTCTTTTACCACCGTAACTTTTTAAAATTACCACTATCTTTGAATGAATAAAGGATTGGAGAACGTAAGGCGCAATTTTAGTCAGACGTTACGGTAATAATGTCATATTTCAAAACCCTCACACCATACCTATGTACCTGTAGCTGATTTCGAAGAATCCTTTTACTCTCTCAGTCTGACCCGAGGCCCGGCTTCCCTCTTGTCCTCATGGTACACCAGGCTGTTTCCGCTAGCGGCCGACACGCTCACATATAGCCCTCGCAGCCCGACTGATCAGGCACCTGGAAGAAGTAGTTGTCCACTTGACTAATAACTTCGTTCCGACAGTATTTATAATATCCGCCGGTAGTAGTATGAAGAATGATGGATGTTGGCACACTGTTCTCTAATTGTGTTTATGGCGCCAGTACTTTCCCGTGGGTTTGTTCTACACTTCCTTATCTCACTCCAGGAAGTTACGATATTCCAGAGATAATGTTATAACCAAGCTTAAACATACCCTTCTTGATGCCAGTGAAAGGCACTAAATCCAAAGAACTGTATATATGCTCCCGTACTTAGAATCACACCTGATTTTCTCCCACTTCCCAGGAGCTCTATGACTTCATGCGTTTAGCGCTTCCTAGCAATTATAATATAAAAAAATGTAGTCAGTAATTCCAAACTGATTATGATAATGGATTTCGACATAGAGCCTTTTAGATTCAACAGATTTTAATCGTGTTGGAGTGCAGAGTGGAAGTTAATTACTTAGAGTGAAATTAATCTGCATATATTGTTATAAATGAGCCGTTGCAAATAAAATGTATTTATCTCTATGTCTTACCTATCTGGAGTCGATTTCGAAGGTCACTACCCTCCCTCCCCCCAAATGCCGGTTACTGGCTTGATCGACAAGTCTGTTGGTCCCAGCTGCACGCTTAGCAAACCTTTGGCTAGTCTTCTCAACATACCACTACTGAATACATCGACTCCATACCACTACAAACTAGCATAGTGCCAGACAAGTGGAAAATGGCAAATGTAATCCCTATTTACAAAGCAGGGGGCAGGTCCTTAACTTCGAACTAGAGACCAATAAGCCTTACCTCCATAGTGGGAAAATTTATGAAATCAATTGCCGAGGCAATTCGTAGCCATCTTGAAAAGCATAAATTGATTAATGAATCTCAGCACGGTTTTACAAAGGGGCGTTCCTGCCTTACGAATTTACTAACTTTTTTCACCAAGTTATTTGAGGAGGTAGATCCATAGTAATAAATATGATATTGTGCATATAGACATCAGTAAAGCTTTTTGATATAGTCCCACATCAGAGGCTATAGAGGAAAATTAAGGCACACACAATAGGAGACATTTTTTCCAGGGTAGAGTTGTGGTTGACAGATGGGCAGCAGAGAGTTTGCATCAATGGGGAGAAATCAGAGTGGTAGTGCTGACTTAAGACCAAAAAGACCATTATTTTCTGGCAAAAAAAAAAAAAGTGGTAGTCCCCCACCCTCCCTTCTCAAACTTAGCCCCCCGTGACTTCTTTCTCTTCCCAAAAATAAAAATGCCACTAAAAGGGTGGCATTCAAACTGCTAGACGCCCATTAAAAAAGATTTCCAGAAATGTTTGGAGAAGTGGCAAAGGCTCTGGGATCAGTGTATAGCCTCCCAAGGAGAATACTAGGTGATTATGTAAGCCTGTATACTGTATTTTTTCGGCAGTTTGGGAACTTTTTAATACTACAGTCTGTTCTCTGCCTTACCAATTTCTCAAAAGATTGTCCTTATGTCAAAGTTTGTCCTATTTCCTGCCGAGATCGTTAGGTTCAGTTCCTTCAACCTTTCCTGATAGAGCACTTCTGTTAGTTCTGGTACTAGTATGGTTTGAAAACTTTTCACCTTTTAGAGCTTTTCTAGTTGCTTGACCAAGTGTGGGCTCCATGCTGGGATTTCATACCTAATGATTTTCCTAACATACGTCGTATATAATGTTCTAAAGGTGTCTTTGTTAAAGTTTCTGAATTTTGTTCCTACGGGTTTAGCGCTTCCCCTTGATTATAATAATAATAATAATCTGAATTTTGTTTTGAGGTTTGCCAATTTTGCATATGTCGCTGATGTATGTGATTCTGGTAATGTACTTAATATAAAATTGACTTCAGGTCCTTTTAATTCCCTGATATTTAGAGTCTCTTTTTTTCCATGTTGTCCTCTTGTCCAGTCTTCCCTTAACTCCTCCAGTTCACATGATCTAGCATTTGTTTAGCTACATTTGCATTGTGTTAGTCTCTCTCCGAAGCTGATCGCTGTCTTCTGTTCTTATATTTCGCATTAGTTTTACATCATGAGCAAACAGTAACACATGGGACTCGAACGCCTCTGGTAAGTCATAGGAACAGTAGCAGTCCTAATACTGATCCTTGCAGAGCTCCCACTTGTTACTCTCTCCCATTCTAATGTCTCATTTCTTACTCTTACCCAGCGTTATGTCATTCAAGTATCCTTGACCCACTGGTGCACTCTGCCTTTTAGCCCTTGCTGTTTCTCTAATATCTGGACAAATCTCTGGTGTGGTGCTGTATCACATGTTTTCCTACACTCCAAGAAGATGCCAGCCACCGAACCCGCTCTTGTTTTATGTTTGTGGGTCTGGTATAGAACTTTAACAAATCGTACGACAGGATTTTTTTTCTATCTCCAAATCGTCTCTACAAGTTCTCAGATATTCCTCAATTCACAATCTTCTCCGGAACTTTTATTATTATGCTTGTTAGAGATACTAGCCTGTAATTCAGTGCCTCTTGTCTGGGTTGTGAAGAGTGAGATGTGTTGTGGAGGGTATGAGGAGTGAGATGTGTTGTGGCGGGTGTGAGGAGTGTGATGTGTTGTGGCGGGTGTGTGGCTTGAGATGTGTTGT